CACAAATGAAATATTTGGATTAAGTCTGCTACTAAACGAAATATTTGTTATCTTAATTGCAATTTTTCCTTGATTTAATTTGAATGCTTAGTAGCGAAAAATTCCCCTATCTATTAGATGTTGTGCAGAAAATTTCCTACATATTAGAAATAGCATAAAATGTCATTATTTAAGACTTTTAGTGCGGAATACAACCTTTTAGGTGTGTAAAATCCCTTACGGTCAAATTTCGTTAGTTTAACCGTTAAAATCTGTAAAAATTGTCAAAATGAAAAATGAATATTTACAATTTCAATTCCAGACTTTTTATTTTTTACAAATTATACCCAAATTTTTTATATGTGCCGCCCATAATTTTAAATTTTTAAAACTTTATTTTCCACTTTATCCCAACCTCACTTCACTTCATCTTTCTAAAACTGCCCACCGCCACCTCTCCTTCCATCCTCCAGTTACCAAACATCATGAATCACTGCTTTCCTCAAATTCCTAACATCCAAATCTATACCTCCAACATAATCCAGCTTAAAAGGCAAAGCTATAAAGCTTTCATTCATCTTTAACCTATCATTTCATCGCTCTTAACCAACTCCACAACTTCACTTTTCAAAAGCCTCGCTTCAATTTCATCAACCTGAATTTTAAGATAATTGATTTTAAAAGTTATGGAATAGTTAAATTCATTTTTGATTGACTTAAATTTTAATCCTTTTTTTTAAGTAGAACCAAAAAGGGGCTACATTATTTTCAAAAAATAAATAAATAAGCAAGGAAATGGTTATTAACACAAAACTTCCTACATTTGAAGTTCATTGTATAAAACGTCCTCACATTTCATTTCTTAGCATTTTTACCCTTAAATACACATTTTATTGCGAAAATCATCAATTCCATTCATTTTCTCAATAAAAAGCTGTAAATGACAAATATACCCTCATATTTAAATAAAACAAAAATAAAAGAAAAGAAAAATAAAAGAACTAATTGCAATCATAATTCCAAAATTTGCAACTATGGCTTCAATTAGTTCTTCATTTTTTTTAAAATTTAAATATGAGAGTATATTTGTCATTTCACAACTTTCATTAAGAAAATGAATGGAAATGATGATTTTTGCATAATGAACTTCAAATGTGTGGACGTTTTGTGCTAACAACCCAACAAGTAAAAGGGCACTGTTAAAGTTTGACCCAAATTCCATTGGATATTTGTGGATTTGTTGAATTGGAATTTGAAAATGTCAAAATATAGATCAAGGAGGAAAAGATGCTGCA